GCCCTCGGACACGGCGTGCTTGGCCAGCTCGCCGGGCAGCAGCAGGCGCACGGCCGTCTGGATCTCGCGGGACGTGATGGTCGAGCGCTTGTTGTAATGCGCCAGGCGCGACGCCTCGCCCCGCGATGCGCTCGAAGATGTCGTTGACGAACGAGTTCATGATGCCCATGGCCTTGGACGAGATGCCGGTGTCGGGGTGCACCTGCTTGAGCACCTTGTACACGTACACCGAGTAGCTCTCCTTGCGGCTGCGCTTGCGCTTCTTGCCGTCCTTCTTCTGCGCCTTGGTCACCGCCTTCTTGGAGCCCTTCTTCGGGGCGGGCGCGGACTTGGCGGGCTCGGGCATGGTGCTCAGGTCTCAGACAGAAAACCAGCAGAATGAGTGCCGCTCTCAGGCCGGCCTATATTTGTAAGGCTTATATGCAAATAAGGGCTTAATCCATGTCAAACTCTGATTGGCTGAAACCATCCAATAGAAACCTTCAACGCAATCAAGGGGATTTCAAATCTTACTGACTGCCCGTTAAGGAGGAAGCCGCCCTGGGTGTTTTGTTCCTCCTCCCTTAGAAAAGTTTTCTTATTGATAACATTGCAAACAATTACATTAATGTCTTATCAATCGTATCTACTTATGAATCTTGTCTCTGCCTCGATCCAGATCTAAACAGACAAAGCGTAATATAAATTCATGACTGTATCTTTTCCAGCCAAATTAGAGACCGGGTTGCTAACGCTAGAAAAGAGCATCTAGATGTTAGGTGCATATTAAATATCTTCCAAATTATGCTGCTGACATTCCCAGTTCGGTCTGGTCAAAGCCGGCAACACTAAAGCTTTTCCAAGTTTCAAAGAACTGTCCCACCTTCACAGCGGTGGGATTTTTCTGTTTCTTGATGACGGGGTGTGTGAGAGAAATACCAGTGTTTGTTTGAAGGTTAGAAACGATGAAAGAGGGCGCTTGTGTTGCAGAAATCTAATACTTTTCAAGTCAGAAGCTTTTATAAAGGTCGAAACTGCGCAAATTCAAACGCCGAGTTTTTGAGAAGGTGGAGAAACTCTGGAACTTTCACTTTCACCTCCTCCCAAGTGTAAATCAGAACAAGGAGATTAAAAACTGTCGAAGAGATTCAAAGCCAATTAAGGAGGGCGATCAATACCTACATACAGGGTGGGTCCAGGGCAGAGAACTAAGTGAACAGATAACTGAGCAACTTTCCATTTTTTTAATAGACCCGCTAGCCAATCACAAGGCCCGTTACATTGCTTAATTCACGGCGCGGAATTTGAATATTCGGACCAATCAGGAGGCGTTTGAGGTTATAAATAGGAGCGAGAACAGCAGAGACTTCAGTTGCGAACTGTGTTGGCGATCTGTCCTGATGGCTCGCACCAAGCAGACGGCGCGCAAGTCCACGGGCGGGAAGGCGCCCCGCAAGCAGCTGGCCACCAAGGCCGCCCGCAAGAGCGCGCCGGCCACGGGCGGCGTGAAGAAGCCGCACCGCTACCGGCCCGGCACCGTGGCCCTGCGCGAGATCCGCCGCTACCAGAAGTCCACGGAGCTGCTGATCCGCAAGCTGCCCTTCCAGCGCCTGGTGCGCGAGATCGCGCAGGACTTCAAGACCGACCTGCGCTTCCAGAGCTCGGCCGTCATGGCGCTGCAGGAGGCGTGCGAGGCCTACCTGGTGGGGCTGTTCGAGGACACCAACCTGTGCGCCATCCACGCCAAGCGCGTCACCATCATGCCCAAGGACATCCAGCTGGCGCGCCGCATCCGCGGGGAGCGGGCGTGAGCTCCGTCCTGCCCACTTGCACCGGAACCCAAAGGCTCTTTTCAGAGCCGCCTAGAGTTTCAATGGAAGAGCTGTAAGCAAACCCGGAATCTGTTCCCCAAACAGAACTACCCCCAGGTGGGATGGGCGCTCCTTGTCCCAGAGGCCGCTTGCCTGTAGCCAGTCCTTCCTATATAGCAGCAGCCCTAGCCTAATGCGTGGCTGTGTTCTTGGTGGAATAGCTGGCTTCCCCCCAAGTGAGGCCCGAAGTGGTCGCTAAAGCCCCAACCAGGCATTCAGCTTTGCAGCCTGCACCCTCCTTTTGAAATACAATGCCACTAGGCCTGAAACCATGGTCCTTGCGTAACCCCCCCCCCCCCTTTTTTTTTGCTGGAATTCCTCAACCAGGGAGGCCAAGCTTCCTACTTTTCCTCCAGAAGGAACTTCTGTACCTCGGGTCATGAGGCGCGTTGGGTTTAGTAAGTTCGCTCACTTTGAGATGGGACTTCCCTCCCCGGGGTGGTGGGTAAGTAATGGCGTCTGTTCAGTCAATGGCTCCGCACTCGAGTAAAACCGAGTCCCCGGCAGGAGCCCAGGACCTGGCATTCCCTGCAGTTTAACAACAGCCGCACATTGTTGCTGGAGCCAGTCCTCCGCTGCAGAACCCAGGATTCAGATTCAGGATCATCGAACTGCCCCGGGCCATGTTTCTGCCTTGCAGCTAACTTCCAAGCGCTATGGCAACACGTGATTTTTACGTGAATGTGGAAAGGGTTATTAGGCTACCAGTTATCAGCGACACGAATACCCCTTTAAGAATCGTAATTTTAAGGTGGAAGGCAGGAAATAACAAACTTTAACCCAAATGGGTTGCAGTGGGGTTAAGGGGAAGAAACAACCCCTGTACTTGTTAAAGTTTTAAAAAGCTTCATTAGTATTAGTCCTAAAGTGGAAACAGCTGTGTACTATTATCTTTCCATGGACGAATGGTTATTACAGGGTGGAAAACAGAAAAGGAAAAGGGCCACAGGCTACACCCGACAATCTCAGGGAAGGGGGGGGGGGGCTGCAGGGAAGGGGGAGGCCTGCAGGGAAGGGAAGAGGCCTGTACGGAAGGGGGAGGCCTGCAGGGAAGGGGGGGCTGCAGGGAAGCGGGGAGGCCTGCAGAGGTGGAAAGTATCCACACAGGGCGAGCTGACATGAAAACTTTCTAACTAAAAGCGATTTGTGGTGGGTCATCAGGGCCCCAGCTGGTACCTTCCCTGACAAAGGGTAGTTCTTACCTTAACTGAATCTATTGTCATTTTGCATCTAGGATAACCCACCTTTGGAATGTCAGGACAATCCCCCCAGGGCAGCGACCACAAATCCCATTATCTTTATTTTATGGTGTTAATTGTTTAATGTTAACTATTTATCCCATAGCCACAAATTTCTAAGAAGTATGTGTCTGTTTCTTTTATTTTGTGTCCAATCCCAGAGGTTTCCCTGCTTTGCTTTCTCCCACCTCCCTAACCTATTGCCAATGAATCTCATGTAACCACCTTACATCTTCCCCTTTGATTCTGATGAATAAAATAAGTGGTAAAACCGCCGTTTTCCAGAGCGTTTCCTCAATCTGTTCAGATGTTGCTTCCTGGAAATTCTCAGTTTGGCTCAAAATAAACATAATAATTCTGTGCAGGTTTGAAAGTTTCCTACGTTGTAGCACAAATTCTCAGACATCAGTACAACCGGGTCCTACTCGGCAATGACAAGGGGAGCTGCTGGCAAGTGGCTGGGTCTCAAGGGCATAATGCTCAGTGGAAGGAAGAGCCCATTTCACTTGTTTCTTTTTTAAATATTTTTTTTTACTGATTTCAGAGAGGAAGGGAGAGAGAGAGAAACATCAACGAAGAGAGAGAATTACTAATCAGCTGCCTCCTGCACGCCCCACACTGGGGATCCAGCCTGCAACCTGGGCATGTGCCCTGACCAGAATGGAACCATGGCCTCCTGGCTCATAGGTTGATGCTCAACTACTGAGCCACACCAGCCGGGCTAAAGAGCCTATTTCAAGGTTACGTATTGTATGGTTCCATTTCACGGAGCAGTCTCCAAATGGCAAAGCCAGAGATGGATAACAAATTGGTGATTGCTCCAGGGCATGGGAGAGGTGGGTGAATGGGCCTACAGAAGGGGAGCATAAGGAGTTCCTTGGTGATGGTGGAAGTGTTGTATCTACATCATGGTGGTGCTTACACCACTATACAGGGCGTAAGACTGCATGGGGCTATCTACACACATGGCCACATGAGTGCACGTAAAACCACTGAGGACTGAATCAGGCCTGTAGTCTAGAGTTGACAGTAATTTGCCAATGTCCATTACTGGTTTTGATATTATAACGATATAGGATGTCTCCATTAGGTGAAACTGGGCTTGGGGACTGTATTTTAAATTAAGGTTGTAAAAAAAAAATCTGTACCAATTTTTTTGGGCAGTTGCTACTTTGTATTGCTTAGGATTCTATGCCTTGCTTAACAAATCAATGTGTGTGCGTTTTTTTTTTTTTTCATGTAAACAGCAGAGGGTGTTTGTTTGTTTTTTTTCTGGCTGTTCTAGTGGCGACATATCCATTGGGCTTAGATTTAGTCCCTTTATGTTGGTATGTGATTTTGGAGATATTGCTGCTCCGACCTCTAAACAGTTTCAAGGTTTGATATTTGTAGTGTCAAATTTTCTGGTGGGGAACTTGGCTGAGTTGATCCATGGTGTTTAGGGCAGTGTGCTTGGGACATCTTAACTGTATGATGATAAAGGACAAAAAACGCAGTTATTGCTTAAGCTAAACACCGGGTTCCAAACCTAGATTTAACACCTGATCTAACTGCAGTTTCAACCTCTCCTTGAAATATATTTTTAATCAGCCCTGGGGAACTTTCTGTTGAAGCACTAATCAGTGAATCAGTCCCATGGGCCCCCTCCACCCCCTTAGAGCAGTGGTTCCCAAAGTGGGGCACGCACCCCACAGGGGGGGCCATTGGAGAATGAGTTCTTAACAGTGATTTTTTTGCATCTCTTAGGTTTTAGGGGCTCATATACAGTATATAAATATATATTGTGACAAATTTATGCATTTCAGCTGTTTCAAAAATTTGCTATTTTTTCATATCACTTCATATTATTATTATTTTTTAAACAATTTCTTAGTGATTTCTTCCTCAGTACTTCAAACTGTCCTTTCGTTCTTTTATTTTTTCTCTTTCATGGATGCCATGTTCTTTGGAAGCTTGTTTAGACCAAGTTCATGGCCTTTTAGGCTTCCTCCATGTGAATAGGAGCTCACTTTTTGAATAATAAGAAGTATACGTGAGGGGGGGCATTAGGATTTTAGAGATGATAAAGTGGGGCGTGGCCACAAAAGGTTGGGAGCCACTGCCTTAGAGGGAGGAGGCAATCTGCATGATAAAGTCCTCTCACTCTCCTCCCCCAAACAGAAGATGCCTGGGCCCAAGAGAAATCCTTTCTTTTCTTTTCTTTTGTTAATAGCTCTCTTGCCCCATCCTTGTTCCTATAAAAAAATTTCCCTTTGGTACCATCCCTCTGAGCACCTTTCTAGCTGTAGTTGGGGTGCTGCCTGATTCACGAATTGAGTAATAGAGCCAATTAGATTCTCAAATTTACTCTGTTGAATTTCCTTTACTTTTTTCACAGTAACAACCATCTCTTGCTTTGAAGATTCTGTTGTCTTCTAAGGGCATCATTTATATCTTAACGCTCTCATGTAGTAGCTCAGCAATTTTTAAAGATAATGCAAACCTCTAGGAATGGCTGCATCTTTATCACTTTCACTTGCGTACAATTCCTTCTCCTACCTTCAGCGTTTATGACAGCTTTCCTGGAATTGGATGATCCAGCTCCAGGGAAGGGCGGGCACCCCTCCACCCTCTGCCTTAGGCCGGAGAACAGGGCGTCAGCCCCTGGAATCCACATTCTTCCCCTCCGGGACCCCCATTGTTTAAATGCATGAGCTCAACTTGTTTGAATGGAAGCACTGCCCATGCCCGGGTTAGGCTGGAAATGCCCTGGAACCCTGCCTTGTGCTTTAGTGCTGCCTGTATTAGAAATATTCTGCCTTAAAAACAGAAGTCTGGGCGACATGAGTTTTCTGTCAAAGAATTATCAGCCAGACATGTTTCCTACAATAACTCAATTACTGACCGACTGACGAGTGTTTTCCTGCGTGTGGAGAAGGCCACCGAGACCCAGTTTGGCAAACAGGCCCCATAACCGCCTGAGAGCGGCCGCTGGTGGATTCCGAAGCCGAAGCCGGTGGGCTGTTTGGCACCTTTTACCAATTCTCTTGTTTTTGGGGTTTGTGCTTGTTTCTTTCCAGGGTGGGGTGACCCAGGAATGCCAGTGGGATGGGCACACCTCCAAGCAGACTGGTTTCTCTCTGGTGCACGGTGGACGCTCCTGGTCAGAATTTACTTTCTAAACCTCAGAAAACCTGCCCCGCGCTCCCGGAGGCTCCAGCAGCGGGGGCGGGACTCGGGCGGTTTCCCGCCTCTTCCGGTCCCTCTGCTCCAATGAGGCCCGCCCCCTGGTTATTTAAGCGGCTGCAGCCGGCACCGCGGGGACAGACGTCTCTGACTCCTGTTCAGTCACCATGTCCGGCCGCGGCAAAGGCGGGAAGGGCCTGGGCAAGGGCGGCGCCAAGCGCCACCGCAAGGTGCTGCGCGACAACATCCAGGGCATCACCAAGCCCGCCATCCGGCGCCTGGCGCGGCGCGGCGGCGTCAAGCGCATCTCCGGGCTCATCTACGAGGAGACGCGCGGGGTGCTCAAGGTCTTCCTGGAGAACGTGATCCGCGACGCCGTCACCTACACGGAGCACGCCAAGCGCAAGACGGTCACGGCCATGGACGTGGTCTACGCGCTCAAGCGCCAGGGCCGCACCCTCTACGGCTTCGGCGGCTGAGCCCGTCCCCCGCCCCGTCCCCCCAAAGGCCCTTTTCAGGGCCGCCCACTCCCTCTCGGAAGAGCTGCTCGCGTCGTGCTCATGTTCCTGTGGCCACAGTTTCTCGTGTTGGATGCCGACGGGGGCCTTAACCTTTAGCTGGAGCTTCAAGCTCAATAGTGGGCGCCTCACCCAGGCTGCGTATGGACCCGAGTGGCGGCGCCCTCAGTTCTCGGGGAGCAGGTCCGATT